GCATTAGCGGCCTGCCAGCCGTGACACTTCTAGAGTTTAGGGTTTAGCGTTGCCGCTTGTGATAGTATGCCTAAACTTGTGTTTGGGTTTTTTTCGGTACCTAACTTGGGTTTGCGGCGTTTTTGGGGCATGTAGGCGTTGTCGCTTCCTATTGTTGCTAGGCTGAAGTTTGAATCTGTGTTGGGTTTTCTGGTTTCATGGTTTAGGTGTGCGATTCCACACGCTACATTTTTAACCTCTCGGGTTTGCCGCTTCTTGCCTTTTGTTATAGGGTCAGAATTTTTTGGGAGATTTCTTCGCTTGACAATTTGGGTTTACGGCTTACCATGCACCTCGTTTAAGGTTTCGGGTTTGCCATTCTTATTCCATTTAGGTCGAATGGGTCACAGTTTTGGTGCCCGGCTTTTCCCCGCCACGCTTTTGGGGCTTAGGATTTGCAACTTCCCACTGTTGTTAGATTCTGGTGTAGATCTGTTTCGGATTTTCCGCTTCTGCACAGTTCTGGGATGGCGGCTTGCCACTCGCCACGTGTTTTGGGTTTAGGGCTTGCTACTGCTTGCTTTCGTTAGGTTCAGGTTTGAACATGCTTTCCTCACTTTCTATCTCAGTTAGATTCAGGTTCGGACTTTTTTGGAAGGTTTTCCACTTGACAGTTTGGGCTTACGGCTTGCCATTCATCACGCTTTTAAGTTTTCGGGCTTGCCATTTCTCCTATTGCTGTTAGGTCGAACCGGTCACAGTTTGGGTGCACCGCTTTTCGCACGCCACGCTTTTTAAGGTTCAAGCTTTGCCAATTGCTAGTGTTATGAGGCTCAAGTCTGAAGTTTGTTTGTGTTTTTCAGATCACACTTTGGGTGGTTTTAGGGTCCGGGTTTAGGTTCTGCCACTTCCCACTGTTGTCAAGTTCAGGCTTAGACCTGTTTGTAGGTTATTCCGCTTCTGAATAATGGGTTTGTGCTTGCCACTTGCCACACTTTTAGGGTGTGGGGTTTAGCATTGCCGCTTGTGATAAGTTTACGTTTAAACTTGTGTTTGGGCTTTTTCGGTCCTTGAATTAGATTTGCGGATTTCGGCTCGACACATGTTTTACGGTTTAGGGTTTGCTGCTGCAGTCTTTGTTAGCATCAGATTGAGTATTTTTTGGTTGTTGCCTTCTGCACAATTCGGTTGTTTGTGGCCTGCCGTCTGCATCACTTTAGGGTTTAGGGCTTGCCGCTTTTGTTAGGGTTTTTGCTTTCTGCATAGTTCGGGTTTGGCGGCTTGCCGCCGCCGCATTGTTGTTTACTTCCCATGTTTGTCAAGTTCAGATTTCGATTCTTCTGGGTTTTCCGGTTCGCACTTTGAGTTTCCGGCTTGCCACTCGCTACTCCTTTGGGGTTTCGGATTTCCCATTTCCTACTTTGGTTAGGTTGAATTTGAGATGTTTGTCGGGAATTCCCGCTTGGCAGTTTGGGTCTACGGCTTCCCACGCACCTCACTTTTGGGGTTTCAAGGTTTGCCATTTCCTCTGCTGGCTTTTTGCTTGAGCTTTTTTACCGTTTTCCGCCTCACAGTATGTGCTGATGGCTTTCACTCACCACACTTTAGGGTTGGGGCTCTGCCATTTCCCATTTTAATCACCTTTTCGACTCGGTTCAGCGACAAGCTCTGTTTGGTGCTTTCCCCTTGACAGTTCGATGTTCGTGTTTAGGAGTTGCCGCTTCCTATTGTTGCTGAGCTTGAATTGGACTTGTTTTGGGCTTCTGGTTTCATAGTTTGGGTTTACAGCTTCCACCCACCGCACTTCTAAGGTTTAGGGTTTGCCACTTCTTGCCTGTGGTTTCTTGCTACTTCCTACACGCGCAGCACTTTGAGAGAGTTTGAAGTGGTATTCGTGGCCGTCGTGCTGTGCGTCGTAATAAAGTAATAGTGGCAGTAGGGTAGTAGTCGTAGTAGTCGTAGAAGTCGTAGTAGTGTAGTAGTGGTAGTAGTGGTAGTAGTGGTAGTAGTGGTAGTAGTGGTGGTAGTGGTAGTAGTAGTGGTAGTAGTGGTAGTAGTGGCAGTAGTGGTAGTGGTGGTAGTAGTGGTAGTAGTGGTAGTAGTGGTAGCAGCAGCAGCAGCCGCAGCAGCAGCAGCAGCAGTAGTACCCCCATTCCCCCACGCTCGCCCCACGAACAAATTTAGGGCTTGTTTCCGCCCGGTTTTTCGATTCACAGTTCCACGCTTTCAGGGTTCAAGGTTTGCCTCTTCCCACCGTTGCTAGGTTCAGGATTTGAGTCTGCGCTTTGCCACGCGCCAGACTTTTAGGGTTTAGGGTTTGCTCTTGCGGCTTGTTGGTTCACGTTCAGACTCGTGTTTTGGTTCTTTCGCTTTTCAAATTGGGTTTGCGGCTTGCCGATGCCAAGGGTTTGGGTTTTCTACTGCCGCTTTTGTTAGGTTCAGTTTTAGCCCTTTGTGGTTTCTGCCGCTACGCAGTTTGGGTTTACGGCTTGCCACTCGCAGCACTAGAAGGCTTTCTCGCTTCCCACTCTAGTCAGGTTCAGATTTCGAATTTTTTTTGGATTTCCCTTTGGGCTTCCGGCTTGGCACTCATTCCACTTTTGGGATTTGGGGTTTTCCATTTCATGCTTTTGCTGGGTTCAATTTTAACTGCTTGTGGGGATTTTCCGCTTCACCGTTTGGGTATACAGCTTGCCACGCACCGCGCGATTGGGATTTACGGTTTGCCTTTTCCTATTGTTGCCAGGCTAGTTTGGGTTGTTTTGTTTTTTCCGCCCCACAGTATGTCTTTCACTCACCACACTTTTAGGGTTTGGCCTTTGCGTTTTCCCGCATTGGATTGCTTTTTCGATCAGATTCAGCTATGATTTTTTCGTGCTTTCCACTTCACAGTTCGGTTTGAAGGTTTAGGATTCGTTGCTTCTTATTGTTGTTAGGCTTAAGTTGAAACTTGTTTTGAGTTTGTTGGTTCGTGGATGCGGTCTGCGGCTTTCCACCACGCCCCAGACTTCTATTTTTTAGGGTTTGCCACTTCTTGCCTTTGATTTTTGAGAGTTTAAGGTTTGCTGCTGCCCGCTTTTGTAGATTTTTCCGTTTCTGCCGCTGCACGGTTTGAAGTTTTACGGCTTGGCAGTCACCACAGTGTTAAGGTTTAGGTTGTTTTTAAGGTAGGCTTTCCTTCGACCTACTTTTGTCAGGTTTCTTTCGGTGTTTTCCGCTTCGCTGTTTGGGTTCACGGGTTGCTGCTCAGCACACTGTAATGGTCTAGGCTAGGGTTGGTTTGCCACTTCTAATGTTCATCAGGCTGGCTTAGACCTTGTTTGGATTGTTGCTTCGCAGTTTGGCTGTGCGGCTTGCAACACGCCACTTTTTTAGGGTTTAGCGTTTGCCGCCTGTCAACACTTTTCTAGCCACAAGCTTGTACAGCCATAACAGCTCGAACACAAGCTTTAACCGGAACCTGAAGGTTTTAGAAATGGCAAATTTAGGTTTTCACCGCGTAGGCGGTTGGGTTATAAGTTGATTTGTTGGAGTTATACTTAACTTACAACATGTGTCAACTTACAAAAAAGTTGTAAGCATCGGAAGCCTTAGTGTGTTGTGCAACTGATTTTAGCGAAACCGAATTTGAAGCGAGAAGACGTATCGCAGAAGTCAGAGCCAAACTCAAAGCGGAAGCATGTCATCAAACACATATGTATGTAGCCCGCGCACACACACAAAGACTACAACAGCAACGACAACAACAACAACAGCAACATAATAAGTGAAGCTTGCGCTGGCTGCTAAATCTCGAGGCAGCAAAGAGTGTCACTACGTCTGCGCTACGTCTGCACCACGTCGCAGAAAAAATGCAAGAAATGATGCCACTACGTCCCCACTGCTCTGGGTCATTTTTGGGCTGCGTTACATCCCCATGACGTCGGTTTGGCTTTCCAAAAATAACATGGTTTTTCTCCAGCTCCACTACGTTAGCACTCAGGCTTTGGGCTGCACTACATCCTCATAATGTTTACATTAGGTCGGTTGCTTGAAACATTGTGGTTTTCGTTGAGCCCTATCCGATCTTTTGTTGTTGTTTTCATTGTTTGTGCTATCCGCGCAAAGCCAACAGCCCAAAGGCTCCGTCTAAAGAGTCCAGGAAGGGCTCGGCATGGTGCTGGCCGCCAAAAACCTCCTTTCCAGACCAAGATCGGGCAGGGTGGCCATTGTTTTCATCGAGAAACATAGAAGTTCATGGGAGCATTAAGTTGAACAGAAGTATAGTTTCAGTATAACCATAAGTTGCTTAGGTCGAACCAACAAAAATATAAGTAAGCTGTAAGTCTTCTACTGAAGGTGAAAGCTACAGGACTCATAACAGTTTATATGTTCACGTATAACCAAGCCGCCTACACAGTAGGTTTACACATCAGGGTCATGTAGAATCTCTCCTCTGTGCTGGTTTGCTGGGGGCTTTTCCCAGGTTGGTCACTCCGAAACTTTCCATCCAAGCGCCACGAAAAAGGGAGGTTTAGGGGCTCCCCATTGCTGCTCTTGAGCCCTTCCAGGGCCTTTGCCACGCACTTTTGTGCAAGGTTGAGGGTCGTGTAGGAGCTCGGTGTTTGCCACTTATTCACGCTGGGTTTGGGTCGCGGTGCCACTGCCACCCTTCTGTTCAGATCCGGAACTTTGCCGCTCCCCAGTCCGTTTGGAATCTGACAAGCAGACTCGTTTTGGGGTTTAGGAACTGCTACACCTATGCTGCTGTAGAATTGAGCCAAATCCCTCTATGTTGATGGTGTGCGGATCGACGCGCTTTCGAGTTCAGGGTTCGGTCGTCTTTTTAGTTTAGGTGTTTGCAATTATCTACTCTGGAGTTCAGCGCTTGCCAGTCGGTGTTGCGGCGGCCAGAAATTGTCGGAGGGTCGGCGGTGCCAGAATCAGGCGCCCGACTACTGAGAGTTCAACTCTTGTCTCCCACCAGAAGCGCTCACTTCGTGCTGGTATGTGTTATCATCACTGGCTTCTTTTGTTGTGTCATGTCGTTTTGTCGACCTCTTGTGATCGCTGCCAGGAACAAGAATGCAGTCCAACCAACTGAGGCTGACATTTATCTGATCGACGAGCCCTCGGCGTACCTGGATGTGGAGCAGCGTGTGGTTGCAGCTCGTGTGATGAAAAGGCTGAGATCCAATTGTTTGCTGTTTGATTGAAAATTCGGTGCAGACTACGTCGGGGTGAGAGGTTCATCCTGCATGCCAAGAAGACTGCTTTCATTGTCGAGCATGATTTCATCATGGCGACGTGGGCCCTCCTTGTTTATCGATAAACTTTCCCCTTCGAGGAGCTCCACAAGACTCGTGCATGATCACACATCAGGTATCTTGCGGACCGCGTAATTGTCTACGATGGGAGGAAATGGACTTGGGTTCCCTCTTGCCAGTGGATCTGTAGTCGAGTTTGCCTTTCCTTATCAGGCCGGGCATCCATTGCGTGGCATCGGCTCCAATGTCGCTGCTTGAGGCGTCGTATGCAGGTTTATCACTGGCAGACCTGAAAAAGTACTTGGGAGCTATTTGCGTGCGGGTGCATAGAAGTGTGCATGGAAGAGACTCTGTGTGTCTCTGTGTGTGTGTGTGAGGTGCTGGGAGGGCCTGATAGGCACCTCCTCGCCAAGCATGTCGAGTTCCCTGTTACTGTTCGGGTGAGTCTTTCCGGCCTGCGATGGGGAGAGCAGGTGACCTTCGAGGCCGCTTTCGCTGTGCTTGTGGTTTTCGGCGGCGGTGGCCGGCCAGTTTCGTTGGGGCGTCTCGCTTCTCCGGTGTGTGCTTCGTTCGACTCTTCAGCTTGCTCCCCACCAGTGAGTTGCGAAGACGCCTGGCAGGTGTAGCACCCCATTTTAGCATCTAGATGCTTCATGGGCTTGGGACTTCCGCTGACGATGACGCCTGGATGGTATCGAGTTGTGCTCTCAACTATGTTGAGTTTGCAGATTTTCATCCAGACGCACTGGTGGGTAGCAGCATGGCCGGAATCTGTGGCTATTACAGATAATCACGTTCCTCCAGGGGCCAGAATCCCGTTTGGCCTGGCCGCAGCATTGCAGCATCGCAGGTACGAAGGTTTCAGGAGGCTCCTGTTTGTGCGCCTCCGGACGACATCAATTAACATGCCGCTCGGTTTCGGCATCCGGGCTTGAACAACGTCCATCTGCTCGCTTCATTACCGACAACAGTTCGGCATCGTCCCTTTCTGGTGATGCTTAATCAAGTCATGCTGATTCTGGACAGGGCATGAACAAGTTCTTGGCGCAGCTGGAGATCACCTTCCGTGCCCCGGCGAAACTTTACAAGGCTCTGGGGGACCGTTTTGGGACCTATTGATTGCCCTGTGCCAGGAAGAGATCCAACCAATTTCCGTCCTCGAATCAACAAAGCAGAGTCTGTGAAGGCCTCCTGGACTGCACAACGCTTTCTGCAAGCAGGTTCTTGTTTGTCGCTGTGAACTCAGGCAGATCAAGGGAAGGGACGCACAAGCTTTAAATCCCTCGCAAACCAAAATTTGCAGCTAAGCAGAAGGCCCGGCCGAGCCGCCCCGGTTTCAGCCGGCAACAGCAACGCTATGCAACGCTCAAGACGGTGAGGCTACACAGGCCAGCTGCAAGCCTTTGACGTCGTTGCAGGACCGTGAGCAGAAGCAGGCAGGCAGCTACTTCGTCTTGGAGGAGTGAATACGAGGCACCTGTTGGTGAGTTCAATCCGTGCAATCCTTGCCTGTAGCAAACTGTTCGCTGCATTTCACAGCTCGTGGGGATGCCCTACTCGTGCTGCCAGGTCCGACGCCGTGACCCTCTGCGGAGCACTGGAACAGTGAGCCGGCCATATCCTTTTCTGGCCACGCGTGCGAAGTCGTGTGGGACAAGAGGAGTTGAAGGGCAGTATCACTGTTATGGGAGCTTTTGTCGTTATGGGAGCTTGTTAGCACAGGCTCAGATGTTTTCTGATCGTTAACCTCTCCGAAGCTTCAGCGGGCGGCGACTTCAAAGAGCATCGCCAATAAGTCCCGGATCCGATGGGCCACTGCACGCCGAGTCATGAAAGTTCAGGAACCTCTGAGCCCCACCACGAGGGGGTGCTGCAGTCATAAGAAGCAAGGCTCCATGACTTGGGGTAGCGTGCGATGGCACTCGGGACGAGTGTACAGGTGACCGGCTGCAATAATGCAGTTGTGGAAACAGAGCTCTGTTGACCTTCAGTTTGCGGTCGCTGATCTTCTGCCCAGTGCACCAAGTTGCTGTCGCCCCATGGAGGACATCGGAGAGAAGATCAGTCAGAATGCTTCTGTTGAACTGCGCCTGTCCTTGGCCCAAGTCAAATTGGGCCAAGGGCCATTCCAGACAAGGATAGTTGACGATTGCAGGACGACTGGGAACAAGGTCAACAAATTGTAGGTCCAATCAGTTGTCCGGCAGCTTTCGCGATAGCTTCTACTGGATCTCATTGTTGCTGGCTGGTTTCACATGCTGTGACAGGATGAAACGTGACTACGACCATCTATTCAAGCTGGCGCCCGGACCGCAACAAAGTGCGTAGCTTCGCAACAAGGTTGGCATTGCTAGCCATAGCTTTGGAGAGAAATTTCCCTGGCACCCTGCATCAGCCAAATCGCGGCCTGTTTTTCTGGGCATGCTGCTAATCATTTCATCGGAGCTGTGGGCTTCGGCACTCGTAACTCTTTGGAAGAGAAGATTGTTTCAAATCTGCAAGCAGCCTGGATTCGGGGATGACTTGATCTGATGTACCATGTTTGCCATGATGCTTGTGGTTTCTCCATCCTATTGAAGCTTCAGTCTTGCCTTTCGCCGCCATGGAACGTGTGCCACATTCAACGGGCAGGGTGAGGGTGGAGTTCGGCGAACTACAGCGCTTTCTGTTTCAGATCTGCGTAGCCTAGCATACTGAGGCAAACTCGCGGCACAGGCTTCAAACATTTGTGTGTGCTGCTGAGTTTTTTGTTCGTCGTTGGAGTCATTGAGAGGCCGAAGCTGACATTATTTAAATACTTCCTTCGTTTTTCAGAAAGAGTGTTTTCGCGGCAAGGCCATGTTGAGATGCTGATGTTTGTGGCGCTGCTGTTGCCCATGCTATAGTCCGCGATGAGGATGGTGATCTGTTGATGGTGACGAAGAAGAGTGCGGGCCAGGGTCGGAGGGGAAGGGCGGGGAATTGCCACATGTTGTTCTTTAGGGATGGGGGTCTGTTGGATTGCATTCGCTCTTGCTGATTGCACTCCTGAACTCAGACTTTCGTTCCTTGGAATCCGTTGGCTTCTTCGGCCAATGAGTTTTCGAATTGAGAATTGTCTTGATTGCGTTATTTCGTGCGTCGGCTTAGCTGGTGACGTCTGTGGACAAGGCTTCGAATTCAGGAATGCGTTTGTGAAGTGTTTGGTGGTTCGAAGGAGCTAAGAAATCTGTCAAAATCTCCCAAGATCAGGTCGCCATTACCGGTTGCTGAACTTCACAAAGCCAGTCCTAGCAGTCCCGAGGATTCTGCTCAAGACAGCTTTGGCAAGGTTTACGACTAAAGCACTTCACAAGCTTTTCATTTTCCGGCAGTCCCTTCGACTTTCATGCAATACCACTGCTGCAATGTCTGCAACCTTTCCACAGACAGTGCCAAAGTTTGTCCCAAGCTGGTTCGGAAGCCATCGCCAAGGTCTTAAACACATCGCACACAGCTTCCAAGACTTGTGTGCAGCAAAACACGGAATCGCAAAGCGCAAACCAATTAGATCGGCTGGCGTTCGGCATTTGCACATTACCTGTGGCCATGTGATGTTTCTTTGCGGGACGTGCAAGGGTTGAGTCAAGCAGGCAAATCCCTAGACATGGCACGCTGATTGCTGTTGGATGTTCTGACCTAAAGCCTTCTGCTTGATCCAACATCAGTCAAGGCAGTCATTGGCTGAGATCTTGCAAGCACAAGCACAAGCACGGACGCATCAGGTTGTAGTAATCAACTGCTACGTAAATCTTTCCTTGAGCCCACTTCATTTGTTTGTGGCAGATGCGAACACGTGGAACCACCCACAAATGCCAAAGAATCCGAAGTTTTTTGTGTTACTCCCTCTGCAACCCATAATAATCGGCCTGCTCTGAATGAGCAGAATGCGAGAGGTGTCTTTCAACAGCGACAATGACCAACCTGCCAATCTCAGGTAGGTAATTCTCGATGCCTGCCACTGCTTCCAGCGTTTCCATCCCCTAAACCCTAAGCCATAAACCCTAACCCCTAACCCCTAACCCTAAACCGTGGTCGATAAGTTTAAAGACGCTTTGACAAACCTTTAGGAACTTATGCCAGGTTAGGGGGCCTGGGCTCGCTGCCAATCATCTTTTTGGCCTCTGCTAGCTATGTCAGCTAGCCATGATGCCTTTGTGTTATTGTTCGGGCTACGAGTTTGTGGTCGCTGCTACAGATTTGCTGGTGTGCGGTCTTACCAGCGTTAGTTGGTGTGGGTTTTCATGGTCGGGAAGATTGGATTATGTGGTTCCAGTCATTATGGTGTTTGAGCAAGTGCTACCTGGCGGGTGCCTTGCTGGACCATGGCTTTCGGATCCCTGCCTTGAGTGTTCCGCATGTCCTGAACATCAACATCTTCTTGTTCAACTGTCGCGTCGGTGCTCTCGGTCCTGCTTGCTGAGATGGAAGGCAACCTGTTGACTGTGCTCACTCGCAGCAAACGGCTTGTGCGATCGCTGGAGCCCATGTGATTTTTCTCAATATGTTATGTGTCCAGCTACTCCCAACCACTGTGCATGTTTTTGGAATGTCTGGCCAGTTTCGACACCTGGCATGAGAAGATAGATTGGTTGACAGTCTTCCATCGTGTAGGGCTTGGATGCAACATGCAATGGTTTCCCAACGGTTTGCGGCCTTCCACTTGTAACCTTTTGACTTGGAGCACGGTCATTAAAGCCTGCAGTGTTGTGACAAACATGCAACTGCAGGTGCTTATTGGTGATTCAGGCGCTGGCAAATCCTGCCTTTTGCTTCGCTTCGCAGATGATGCCTTTACTGACAGCTGCTTTTCCTCGTTAGTGCTTCTGTCTATGAACTCGCAAGATGCATGAGTCCGAGGCTACATCACAACAATTGGTGTCGACTTCAGGTTCAAGACGATTCCCGTAGACAAGAAGAGTCTTGCATGCACTGGCATCTGAAACCTTCAGTTTCCTCTTGGGGCCCACAAGACACGTGGAGCAAGCATTGGCTGTGACCTCCAAAGCAAGCCGGTGCAGAAGGAGAGGTCGCCAAGCAAAACTGTGATTTCGGCAGGAGTGCATCGAACTGCTAGACTCTGACGTGGCCCGCAGCTTTTAGCTGTTAAAAAGACTGAAGTAGAACACGCTCAAATTGGACAAGGCTGCGAGCCCTTTGCACTCAAGTTTGCACCACGATTTCAATCTCGGCCGCTGGCTGTGCTGAAGTATGAATGAGGACGATCAAGCTCCAGATTTGGGACACAGCAGGTCAGGAGAGATTCCGAACAATCACCAGCGCGTCGCTTACCTGCAGATGGAGTTGGCAAATTGCTTCTCACAATGCCTACAGACTCCAGCATCTTTGCCCAGTCTTCGCTCCTCGGTGGTATTCTCCCTCTTCTTTGGAAAAGGTTGATAAGATGACTCGAAGGCTTGTAAGTCAATGTGGGATTGAGGAGACGCACGCCACAAAGACTCATTCTGTTGGATTGCAGCTTGTCTTTTTCGGAGCTTCTCTGCAGCCTGCCATACTCGCTTGTCGCTTGATTATGAGCCATGTAACCTTCCAAAGTGTGCAGGCAGTTAAGAGGTTTCTAGGAGCGACCCTGCAGACGGCACTCTGAAAGGATGAAAGGAGGAGGCCTAGAGAGGTTTTGACAACAGTTTTCAAATCGTGGTTTGCGTGTGGTCCCCTGCAAGGTCTTCTCAGTCAAGAACAGTGAAGGGAGCTGAAATGCGGGTGAACAATGTGTGAGACAAGTGCTCTTGGGCCCCATCTCATAGCTAGCCAGGAGTTCTGCAAAGGCTCTTGGCTTGCACAACCACGAGCCTTCCACCGTCACCAAGAGGTCCGTGCACGTTGCTCTCATCCAACTCCGCATTCCCAATCGAGTACTTTCACTGTAACTGCATTCGAGACGCTGTTGACATCTGTTCTTGCCTTATGCAGATGTGTCGCAGTTTCTCACACACTGTTGCATGTGCCCCAGGGTCAAAAGCAACAGCTTGCTTAAGCATTCTCACATGTTTTTTTTGATGAGGTGTATTTGTTGGAGCAGAGGGGAAATTGGTGCCAGCTGGTTTTAGCATGGATCGAAACATGTGCAGCTGTGTATGTGCGCTTTTCCACACAATTTTGCAAACAAGGTACTATCGAGGTGCTGCCTTGAGCTCAGGCAACAGGTGATACCGACAGCATGTGTCACGCATCTCTTCATTCAGGACGGAATCATCCTTGTTTACGACATTTGTGACCGGGAATCGTTCAATCATGTTGATGAGTGGTTGAACGAAGTAAACCGCCTCTCGGTTGCACACCTGCACATGCCAGCCTTTGGTTTGGTGTGTCGCTTCTGGCAAGGTTATGTCAACGAGAACACCTGCAAGATCCTCATCGGCAACAAGTGCGATATGACTGCAGAAAGGCAGGTGTCCACCGAGGAGGCAAAGAAAAAAGCAGAAGAGCGGCCCTCAGACCACTGTTCGAGCAGTGCTTTAGGCCGAATCGCATTGTTCTGACATGCATGCAGACTCTGTTTTTTTACGATGGTAGGAATGGTAAGCATGACAGGAATGTCATCTTGGAATCTCTCCGGGCATGAGTAGTTTACCAGGTTGCTTTGTGCAGCTACAGCTGGAGGTCCCCAAGTAGATTCCGTTCGGATATTGGAGCTTGCTGCACAGGATCTGGGCATTGCGTTCATTGAGTGCTCTGCCAAAGACGCGACAAACGTGGAGGATTCTCAGCTGTGAGAGTCAGAGGTTTGTTTAGGAATGATGCCTGTGGACTGAGGCTGCTTTCCAGATGATGTCAACAGAGCTGATAGCGACCCTTTTCAGCACTTCGTTTCTCGTGTTGGACACACGGAGAGTTGTGATCTTTCAGGAAGAGCGAGAAGCAAGGAGCACGCCCGCAACGGCCGGCAGGAGGTACAGGCCTGCTCCAGCCGAATCCTGCCAGCAAAATATGCATGCGAAATGCGTTTGGTCGCGGCCGCGTCAGAGCGCCATGTGGTCACTCGCCCCTGCTCAGGAAGGAACGGGGCACAAGCGCATGTGGTGGCTGTGGCCAGGGCTAAATGCCCTTCTCACAGCTGGACTGGGCGGCTTGCCTCGTGTTACAGTTATAGTCTAGGACTGCTAGGAGATTTCTACAGAAGGAGAAGTATCCAACTGGACAGGAAGGTGGAGGTGGTGGCGCTTAGGAGATGCTGTGCGGCAGTCCCCAAATCTGAACCGGTAGATGTTGAGTGGAAAGTGCAACGAGATGTGATGTTGGGTGGCAAACCCGAAATCCAACCCTGAGCCGTCGCTACGCAACTACGCAGAGCCAGCGTTCTTCGGTCGACAGGCTTTTCAATAAATTTATAGCTGCTTCCCAGAAGCTGTTTGAAACACATCTCTCAGATCCACTTTCAGTGGCCAACTCTCGATTTGCTGCCCAGCCTGTCGCCTTGCCGATTTGACGCGTGCGTGAGCCTTGACAGGCTCCAAGAGTTCCCACCTGCTCTCAGGTTTGCCGCGGAGCATTGGTGCAGAGCAGGCAGCAGTGCGCCCGCGGACCAAAAGTTCGTTTGAGTGCTGATGAGCAAGGACAGACTAGGTTGACTTTCAAAGGCAGTGGGCACTCTGACAGCATACTCAGCAGGATTTCGTAAAGACTACCACTGTCGAACACTAACGATGCCCTAAATCTCTGAACTAGGACCATAAGCATGCCAAGACTTTGATGCCGGCTCTAATGCAGCTTTTGCGTGCCGGTCTACTGTTGTCACCTGCAGCCCCAAGTTGATGCATTGCTGCTTTGGCTCAAGTTTTCAAGGCTTCTGGGAACTTTCGACACCTGGACTGCCACCGAAGCCAAGGGTGGCAACTTGCCCATTCTGCTTCCTTCGTCGTCCTGGGTACTCCCGTATTCGCGTCGTTTTTCCAAGGTGCCGCCCTCAGTTACAAGTCGGGAGCAGAGGGTTTACAGTCCAGCTCGCCTTGGCCCTGCTCCGCAGATCCTGTCGATGGCACCAAGATGGACAGCAGATTCCCCGGTGTGCGTGGTTCATTGGATTCCTGCCTATTCCGTTTGACTTGTTTTCGGGTAACATCGGCTCAGGTAGTTGGAGGTGCTGAGAAAGGCGGTATCTTGGTCCGTCGTGGACAGGCCGCCCAGTCTGGTGCGCCACTGTCTGAGTTTTGGGCGAGCATGTCCGGCCACCTACAGCTGCAGGAACTGGCTTCAGCTGCTCTGCCCGACCGGCTTTCCACCGGTGCCGAGGACGGCCTGCAAAAGGGCAGCAGCCTGCCCAACTCGCATGTGTACTGCACCGTCAGCTACTCGTACCATCCCATTGCAATGTGGCAGTTTGAACGGTGTTATCCGGGCCTCTCAGCCGACCGAGCTCTGCGCACCTGCTCATTCGCATGTCTTTATTGCATATCTCCGTGATACTGTACACGTGTGTGTGTGTGTGTGCGCGTGCAAGCTGCCGATGCCGTTGAATTCTGCGATTGAGAAAGCCCGGCGCTCCAGGTTTGTGAGATGTCGCTAACGGCTAATCTGATAGCGTGAAAGCAAATCTTGACCCTCGCCTAAGTGGACACGACCATCCTCAAATGGTGCGTGTCAACCGTCATCAGCCAGTCGACGTCGCTTGGTTGCTCCGTGTAGAGTGAGTCATCGGCTGGTGAGGCCAAAACGGTCAGTGCGCCTGCCTGGGCAGCACATCACAGCACCTCTCACGTGGCAGTGCAGCGAGGAGCCTGAGTTCAAAAAAGGCTGACCCTCGATTTGAGAATCCATTCACGGCGCGATGCGGCGTGCAATCCAGAAGATTGCGCCCAGACAGGAGAAAGAGCCAGCAACGAAAAGCAAATGCGCAGGGAAACTGTGAAGTCTCCAGGGGCCTGCGCGACAAGTGGCTGGTGTATCTGCTTGCGTTCTTGTTAACACACTAGTGAACAAGTCCTGTAGCTTTGACGTTACTTGGCAGCGTCACCACGTATGCGCGCCTGTGGTGACTGTAGTGTGGCTGTGGGCGCTTCACTCTTGGGTGTGTTGATGCCTTAAGGCCAGAGTCGAAGAAGCAGTTGTGATGGAACCTGTATCGTTGTTCTAAAACTATTCAACGTATTATCCCTTTCCATGTCCTACATGTCCTACATTGCACTGCAAGATACAAACTGGACGTCCAAGAGAAACTGTTGATGCTGTCGAAAATGTGTTTTGCCGTCGGCAATAAACAGCTTCACCCAGGCACCACTTCCCTTGTCATATGCGATCTTTTCTTCTCGCGGCCGAGCGGCTGTTTGCCGGCTTTTTCTCTTTTGCTTGATTGATGTCGCTGGTCCGTGGTGTGTTCGTGGCTTCTTGAGTTTACAACTTCTAGACTCCTGTTTGGTCCTCTTATGAAGGTCGATTTGCCCACGTCTGCTTGTCCCTGTGGTAATGGAGGTGTTGCGGGTCGATGTTTTAATGCACCGTTACTTGTTTAAGCTGGCTTTGCTCCCTCGCCTTCCACTCCGGCCAGTGCTTTTCCATACCCGTATTAAGAAGATGATAGATCGGTTTTTCGATGATCGACAATCTTGTCTGCTTGCAGGACGGTGGGTCGGTTTGTTTGATGGGTCGTGGAAACCGGTTCATGCTTCGTCATGAAAAATCAGTACAGTCAGTACACATTGAACAGCACACCGTCCCTGCACAGCCATGGAGGTTGAGGAGCTGCACACATCTGGAGAGCGTCTGCATTTCCGTCGAATCACTGGTACTGGCCCCGAGGTCTGTGGCTCAGTCGTTTGGCTTGGTGTCTTTTCTTCCTCTGGATTCCCCTGCTGTTTGCATGGACCGAGGAGGGTTGGGTGAGCGTGCGGATCAGTGGAAAAGAGTTGCTGCGGCGACAGGCGTGTCACTGAACGTCCAATGCTTAGAACAGCCTTGTTTCTGCTGTGTTCGGCAGGACGAGTCAGATGTGACGCCGTCGAATAGTGGCAAAATGGCCTTGAACTAAGTTGTACCCGTACCTGAATTTTGAGTGCCCGGAAGCTGCCCAAGCCTCCCATGTTGCCACTTGCTTTCGATCCTCTTCTGTTCATCAAGGCCTTGAGCCTTCCCATCAAGCATCGTGAAATAGTCGGACCAAGCTCCGGATACCGCCATCGCTGGGTTTGAGCCCGAGCAGGGGAGAGATTCGCAAGGTGTCAGACACACTACTTCAGGCTGTCAACATTGATGCCTGGCACCCCGAGGGCGGATCCGTTTCGACCCCAGTCCAAAGCTGCTTCCGCCAGAAAGTGTGCCTACACCGGGGCTCCGCCTTCTAAGGATGGCAAAGAGTTTCAATTTTTGCTGCACCTAATCAAGGAAGAGACAGACAGAAAAGCCGATGCTCTGGCCTGTGGTGTTTTGGAACACGCCAGCAGTGGGTGTGCCGCTGTTCCGTCCGATCGCAAGACGTCCTGCTGAAATGTCTTGATGTTCGGTGCTTGCAACTGTGACAGCCAGGTCATGAGATTCAAGTTCTTGGAGGATCAAAAGCGGGCTCTTGTCTCTAGACTGTTGGTGCGCCTGCGCCTTACTTCATGAGCTTGTGCCTGAAGACACTGTCTTTTCATTGATTATTGGACGTAACGCTGGAACCAAACCTCTGCGCATTTGGGTTGTTGAACTGTTGAACCATACTTTACAAGCTGCTTTTGCGGAGAACTCCCTCCTGTAGTAGTGCACATGCTGTGTTTGAGGCATGTCGCACCGCGTACGCCACTCCCCACACCGCGCACCCCAACCGTAACCCGAACGCCTTCATATAGGCACTTGCACACACACACACACTTGATTGAAAAACTCGTTTAAGGGAGTAGCTGGATTTTAAACGTCACATCTTAGCGCAGGTATCGCTTTCAGCTCATCGGCCTCTTCGTTGGCCATCCACCAATGACGAGATAGCTGGCCCCCTGCAGCTGAAATGCAAGACCTGTCCTATCCCTTGGCAAACAGGGCTTGACATGCACATACACACACCCACACTGGCTGACCCTTCTTCGAACATCTTCGAACCCAAGCAGATACGAACCAAAAGCTAGGGCGCTCAATGCAACTCTCGCACTGTGCACAGGATCCGTAGCTCTACTTGTTGATGCAAGCTACGCAGAACTCACTGAAACTTGGACAATTAAGGTATAGTGACATGCTTCGAACTACGAACCCTGCAGCTCTTGGATCAAAAAACTCTTTCCTTCTTCGCAGGTACATGATCCCAGCGTCTCATGAGGGTCATATCACACTCATCAGACAGGTGTCTTCGTCGGCCTGAGCCCTGTCTGTGAGCCCCCTGCACTTCAAAGCATAACGACCATCAGCTAATGTGTGCTCTCTCACACAAGATGTCCTATAGTCACCCTTAGGAACTGGGTTTACGCACACACACACACACACGCAGACACACACGCAGACACACACAGACACACACAGACACACACAGACAGACACAGACACAGACACACACATACACACACAGATGCATACAGTCGCACACAGACGCACACCGACGCGCAGTGACGCACTGCACACAGATTCGACACACGCATACGCACACAGACACAGACACAGACACACCCACACCCACACCCACACCCACACCCACCCGCACGCGCGCACACACACACACCCATACACACACACACACACACACACACACGCGCACGCGCTCACGCACACGCTCGCGCACATGCACGCTCACGCGCACGTGCACGCACTCACACACCGACACGCGCACGCACACGCACACGCACACCCACACCGACACCCACACACGCACGCACGCACACACGCACACACGCTTACACACACACACACAGAGACACACACACACACACACACTCACACCCACAGACACACACACACACACGCGCACACGCATAAACGCACACACGCACACACGCACACACGCACGCACGCACGCACACGCGCACGCACACACACACACACACACACACACACACACACCCGCGCCCGCGCGCACGCACACACGCGGACGCGGGCACACGCACAATCACGCACACACGTACACACGCGCACAAGCACACGCACACAGGCACTCACGCACTCACGCACACAAGCACACGCGCATACGCGCACACACGCACACAGGCACACGCACTCACGCACACAAGCACACGCGCATACGCGCACACCCGCACACACGCACACGCACACGCGCACACGCGCCCACGCACCCACGCGCCCACGCGCCACACACACGGACACGGCACACGGCACAGGGCACGCCGCACACCACCGCACGCGGCACACGCACACGCACACCCACCCACACACGCACGCACACACACACACACACACACCCCACCACACGCACACGCACACGTACACGCACACGCACACGCAGACGCAGACGCAGATGCAGATGCAGATGCAGACGCAGACGCAGACGCAGACACACACAGACACGCACGCACGCACATGCACACACAGACACAGAGACACACACACACACACGCACACACACACACACGCGCGCACACACACACACCCACGCGCACACGTGCGTACGCACACACACACACACACAAACACACACCTGCACACACACACACACCCACGCATGCACGCACGCACGCACGCCCGCCCGCCCGCGCGCCCGCCCGCCCGCAGGCACGCACGCACTTACACACGCACGCACTTACGCACGCACGCACTTACGCACGCACGCACTTACGCACGCACTTACGCACGCACGCAC